CCCCCCCCCCCCGCCGGCGGCGCATGCGCGGGGGCGGGCTCGTAGTGGGTAAGCGAATCCTCAGCCAGCGCGGGAGACCAAACAACCGCAGGGAGCGCGGGCTCGTCCTCCTTTCCCGCCCACCTCCAGCGGAGTTTATCCGGGCCCCAGCCTTATTCCTCAGGCAGCCCCGAATCCGTACGCCACCCCCACCCCAGGGGCCAAACGCCTACGTTCGGCCGGCAGCTCCTGACCGGAAGTAGCCACTAAGACCCAGCACTCCGGGTCTGGGGAAGGAGATACCTTTTTATTCACGGCTTACAAGTCTTCCTCAAGATTCTCGAAAGCCCCAGCACGGAAGCAGACACGACTCCGGGGCTGTGAAGGAACGGCCACTCGCTTTTCTTCTCTTTCCCTCACTAATCCGCCAACCCCCCTCTGGGAAAGCCGGCCCGTCAGGGCGGCCCGCGCTTTCCGGGGGTGGGGAAGGGCCCGAGGGCCGGCGGCCGGGCTTGTAGGCGCCCGGGCCCGCCCCCCTCGGAGCCCGCTCGACGTCACGGAGGAGTTCCCTTCACGTCACGCCCCTCCTCCGGCCGCCGAGCTAGGCGGTGCACCGCACGCCTCTGGCGGAAGAGCTGGGTGGCCCGTGTGTTCCAAAATTAAGGGTGGTGACTGGAGAGTCGAGCGCCAGCCCCTGCTGTTTACGGGACGGCTCCGGGAGCTGGCGGCCGCTACAGCGTTTTTGAGATGCGCTGGAGAAAACTCAGGCATTTCCGTCTGGGAAATTCAAGACCGTGGTGTTACCAGTGTGTCTGACGTTAGCATATTTCAGGAAAGCCTGTGTAAGTGGCCACTACCACAGGGACAGTTAACACTAACTGATAAAGGAATGGACACGGATCAGTCCAAGGTAGCGTTCTGCCTTGTAGCTATCTATTACCTGCAGATTAGTGACGTGACCTGACAGGACTGGGTGGTGAGGCCACGTAGCAAAGCGATGTGTAAGTGGAAAGTTCCTGAGGACCCTGAAATGAGACGGAATCAGAAGTGCCCAGCATTATTTGTTGGGATAATTTAGGTAATTTAATTTTTTTTTAAATCAGCGCTTTCTGTGGCTGTGTGTTTGTAATGGTCAACCTGTTAGTCTGTTTTCCTACTTGATTTCTAAAAGAAGCATTTTAGCATTAGCAGTTCTACAAATGAAGTTGAAAATAAACAACAATAGGCTACAATCACAGTATCTTTTAAACCAGTCCAATACTGTTCTTTACTAGTTATGAGACCTGGGAGGGAGATAAAGCATAGTATTATAAACTTTAAAACTTAAGTAGTGTTTAGGAAATCATAAATACAAGATATAAAGTTAATTTTTTCCACTCACTCATGTTAAGGGATGAATATCAGAGCTTACTCCTCGGGATTTCACCCAATAGGATGTTTCTGTACCATTGGAGCAATGCTATAGGAACGTTGGTATTTTTAGGGAAGAGGGTTGCTAAATCTTCATTACCCTGTTAGAGTAACTATCATTTGCTTCCAAAGTTTACAAGACTTCATAACACTTTTAAAGAAAATGGGTGAAAGATTGACTGCCATTTCTAATACAACACAGGAGGCATAGTTGTTTGTATAAATGTTTATAATGGAAAGTTTTGTTATAAATGGAAAGAACCTGTAGTCAGTTTGTCATTTAACCGTACACTGAAAGAACAGTGTACTTGTGGTCTGAAGAAAAACCATCAGAACAAAATGATGTAACTTGTTCCTCTGGCCTCTGCCAATGGCTTCACTACCCAATGCATTTATGTAAGTCAGAATCCAAATAATCATCCTTGACACCTTTCCCCCCTTTAACCCGCTTATCCAAACTACCACCAAATTCTGTCAGTTTTACTTACCAAATATATCCCAAATCAATCCCCTTCTTTTCATCACTTCCACAGTATTCCAAAAATACCATTGTGTCTTAACCTAGTCTGCTAGTCTGCTTTCCATATGCATCCAACCAACAACCCCATCTAAACCTTTCTCTTCACTGGTGTTCAGAAGAAAAAAAAAATGAGTATCTGTTCTCAATTCATGTATATATTTAAATTTTAAATTGCATGCATGTAAAAGAACAACAACAAAAAAATAGGGGCACCTGGCTAGCTTAGTCGTAGAGCAAGGGACTCTTGATCTCAAGGTGTGAATTGAAGCCCCATGCTGGGTGTAGAGCTTACTTTTTTTAAAAAAGATAAATTGTATATATGTATTGCTGAAAAATGGTAATAGTCTAATGGGTAAGTCACAGGCTCTGGAGACAGACTTCTGGGTTCAAATACTGTTCTAATACTTCCTTACCAAGTGACCTTGGATGGATTTCTTAACCTCTGTCTCATTTTTCTTACCTGTAAACTGAGGATAATAATAGTACCAACCATATAGGATTATGAAGAGTAAATGAATTAGTACATGTAAATTGCTTAGTACAGTGTTCATAGACACAGTATGTGCTTGGAAAAAAGCTAGCCCTTATTGGTACTTCTGAGTTATCTTATGACTATCAAACATTTTTAAAGACATTTTTTAAAAGGGTGAGAAAAAAGTAGAAATCTATGTTTTCCTCCTCCCACCTTAAATTTTACCCACTTTGAGACTACTTCTTTCCATTGTAGCTACTATGATCTTCCTGAAAAATAAATCTGAAAATGGCTGCTTAAACCATTCAGTGGCCTACTGTTACTCCTCGAAGAAAGCCACTTTGAACTGCCTCTACTACCTCTGCAGGTGTTCATTTCCAATCATTTTCTGCCATCTGGCCTTGACCTTTTAGTGTCTCCTAGGTCTTTGCGTGCTGTTGCCTCTGGAATTATCAACCAAACCTACCCCTGCCCTTTGCCCAGCTATTTACTAATCATTTTATCTTGTTTTAATAGTCTTTTCTATTAAATCCTCTTATAGCACTGTGTATGTTCCCATCTTACACTTATTACAGTTTTAAATATTTGAATAATTTTCTTTTCTCACTAGACTAAGTTTCTTGAGGTCAAAACCATGTCTTGTTCACCTTTTTACCTCCAGAAACTAACCCAGTGCCTGCCATAAAGTCAGTACTGTGTGGATAAATGAATAAAGTTTAAGGGATTAACTATTTAAAAAAAATTTTTTTTTCAACGTTTATTTATTTATTTGGGACAGAGACAGAGCATGAACGGGGGAGGGGCAGAGAGAGAGGGAGACACAGAATCGGAAACAGGCTCCAGGCTCTGAGCCATCAGCCCAGAGCCTGACGCGGGGCTCGAACTCACTGACTGCGAGATTGTGACCTGGCTGAAGTCGGACGCTTAACCGACTGTGCCACCCAGGCGCCCTGGGATTAACTATTTTTTATGTAAGTAGAGAAAATCTTTGAATCCATTCAAAATTCTTAGATTATCCATGTGAGATTTTATGGCGATCACTTTAACAGTGGAAATAGTGGGCATACTCATAGTCTCTCCCAATAGGAGCTTTAAACCCCACGTGGTGGAATAAATTATGAGGTTCTAAAGATATGTGGGAAAACTTTATGGCTTTGAACAGTGGTTCCCAAACATTTTTAATGCTTAGAAAAGCAATAATTGTATTACATATTGTGATAAAAAGATGAGGCTGCTTCCATCCAGAGGCAGCAGAAGTTGGAACTTCAGCCACCAGGGCCAGCGATGCTCCCTTGAGGGCTGGGATTTTAATGTCCTAGCACACCTATAATCCGTTCGAGGCCCCTGATTAGGATGCTCGACTTAAAAATTGTGTGATGAAATGATTCAAATGGTAAATTTTATAATATGTACATCTGTACATTTAACCACAATAAGAAAAAAAATGTGTGGTAGCAATAAAAACTCTAGGATTCTTAGAACTGTAGAATTTTGGAAATATGTAGAGTTTAAAATCATCTAACTCAAATCATTTTAAACCTGAAACCTTTTGTTGGTACTACAGTCTGCTTAACTCCTATAGTTGAATGGCTGAGGGTTGCAAAGGAAAAATCACACAACAGGTTATACTGATATCACTAAAATTATGTGGTTTCAAACCTCATATAGGGCATTAATTAATTCTTAAAACAGACTTTGTTCAGCTGCTCTTGTTTCCTTTGCTGTCTTCCAAACCTTCACTATTTTCCTCAAGCCTCTGTACAGTATTCTCACTCTCAGCAGACACCCTAGTCTCCAGGTTAATCAGAACAATTGGGGTCAAAAGGTGTGGTCTCCTTGAACTTCACTTTTCCTTTCTCAACCCTGCGAATTAGGCAATACCATTTTGCAGTCACAAAGTAACTCAAATCCACTTGCTTCTCCCCACCTCTTCTGCATCCACCTTAGGGTGGAGTCATCAGCATCTTAAACCTCTTCTGCAGCAATAGACTCCTTTTTTTTTTTTTTTT